CTAGGATGTTGCGGAGATCAGCAGGAGGATGTACGAAGAGATTAGGAGTAGCAGGGACCCGAGGGACCATGTGGAAGACGGCTAGTGCTAGTCCCCCACCGGGAGGACGACCCCGGCTAGTCGCCGACCACACCCACAAAGAACCCTGCACAAAGATCGCACGGGCGGGGACCTGTTCCTTTTTACCCATCTCACAGTAGAGGTGACCGTTTTATTTATTCGGTCAAAACACCGCGCCCGTAACCCGATGCCAATCATTCGCCTAGAAGCCCCTCTGATGAGTGGTCAGATGAATAGTGCCCAAGAGCGAGGGATACGGAGGGGAGCACAAATAGGACGCCCAGCCCTGCCCTCGTGCCGCCGAGTGCGTATCCTATGCGAGAGAGACCCCCTGTGCCCGTGCCCAGCCCTCTCCGCGCCGCGATGCGCCCTCCCCCCTCGCTTTTGCAAAATCCTGCAAAGGTGGGGACGTGTCTGTCCTCGACCCAGCCCTAGCTTGGGATGTCTGTTTTATTTATTTATTCCGCCGCAGCGAGTCGACGTCTCCCGAGGCGATGAGACTCAAGGCGTCCGCGTCCTCCATCCGTTTGGTCGTCACCTGGCGAGCAGAGGCCTTACCTTACCTTACCTTACCTTACCTCGATCCTCGTCCGGGAGCGTCCTGCGACTCCTGGCCCCACTCCGCGAGCCTTCCCCCCGCCGAGCACCAAAGAGCAGCGTGCGTGTGCCTCTCGCCAGATATCGAGCCCTCCGGGAGAATCTCAAGATAGAGAAAAAGACGACGCTCTCTCACAGCGTTGGTGTCCAGTCCGAGCCTGGCTGTTCTTCACCTTTCTACCTACCTACCTCACAGCACTGGATGTGCGGTTAATGACTGCACTCCAAGTGCTCCAAGTGCGGAGAGGGAGGAGAGAGAGAGAGGAGAACTGGGACCTGTCGTGTGGGTGAACCCTGCCCAGCCCCCCTCCGTGTCGCGATGCGCTCCCCGCTCCCGTTCCCCTGTGTCCCTGATCGTCCTTCGAATCGTCCTTACATACAAGATCCTGCTCGTGCAGGTGTGGGGACCCTGTCCTTTCTCCCACCCCTCGTTTGGCGTGCCCGTTTTATTTATTTCACAGTAGAGAGGTTCCGTTTTTATTCACCCCTCGTTTGGCGTGTCCGTTTTATTTAGTTTTTATTTATTCTAGCTTGGGATGTCCGTTTTATTTATTGGCCTCCCTCCTGGGTTTGACGACAGCGTGGTGCCTAGTGCTTGCTGAGCAGATACTACGCTATGTGGTACTGTGGAAACTTAAATTTCCTCCATTGTACCCATGCGGCGCCTTTTATTAGTCTCCAATTTGTTCGGTGCCGCGCCAGCGGGCCTTCTTGATGAGCGGCCGTCGCCGCGATTCCCGTGCCGCCGCCACGGAAGGTGGCACGTGCTTTTGAGAAGCCCACTTTGCGGCCTTTGCCGCTTGCCCACCGCTTGGCTTCGTCGACGGGCGAGTGCCTTACCACACTCGCCTCGGCGTTACTCGAAGCTGCGAGCTCAGCTGCGGCCACAAGAGCGGCCTGCTTGGCACGCAGCTGCGTAATCGTCGGCCCGCGTGCGCGGCTCTTCACGGCCTGTGCCGGGGAGTTGGCGTTCACGCGCTCAATCATCATCGTCATGGCTGTGTGCGTGCTTCTCGTGCGTCCTTGGAAGTTGTGCGCCTCCTTCTCCTATGAGCTCGTATGCCACGTCGCCGCCTGTGTTTGGGTTTCTATGTTTGCGATTTGGAATTTGGTATTTGTCCAGCTCTTTGTTTATTTATTTATTTACACATGTCGGACCTTCCTTAGGTCCGCCTCTCACATAAATCCGCCTCTGACACTCACTGTCTGCCGATGTGAACTTCTTGTTTGCTTTGCTTTCTTATCAACCTCTACCTGTGAAGGGTTGTGTGTACCCAGCGCTGACTTCTGACTGTCTCTCCCTTCTCGACTGTCTGTGCTTGTGCGTCTTGGGTCCAGGGTTGTGTCTTTGTGTGAAGGGTTCTTGTGCGTTTATGTGAAGACGCGCCGTTCCCAGCGCCGCACGCTCCCCGCCCGCGCCGCCGCCGCCTCTTGGCATGGCGTTCGTCGTGGTCAGCTGGACGGCCCTCGCGGCCTGGCCGAACGCATGCGCTTGTGAGCCTCCAGGCTGCCACCAACGGCCGCCGGAAGCCGCAGATACGAAACCACGACGACACACACCAGTCGACTCGCATCGGTTGCCTCCATGAACGGCGGAGCTATTCTCGCGCCCACACCACACCTGGCTCCAACGTGGACACGCCCATAGCTGGGGACACTACTAGGTCACGCATGGCATCACAGAAGTTTTGTCTCTGGGCCCCGAAAGGCATCTCTAGCAGTGTCGTTACGCATGCCCCCTCCCCTCCTGGGCGCATGCGCCTCACGTCTCGCCAGAGCATACGCCCTTGGTGTGTGGCGAGACGAGTTTTTCGCCATGCAGCGAGCAGCAAGCCGCCCGCCGCAAGCAGCCGGAGGCATCGCCACGGCACTGACTGCGCCGCGATCCCGCCCCCGTCGACGAAGCTCCCCCCGCGGAAGACCGCGCGTAGCGACGCCTTGTCGATCGAGATGGGCGCGCCTGAAGCTCGCCCACCTACTGCCCCTGAGAGTTGGTTATTGAGTGGGATCAGCTCCCCCCCTTGGGTTCGAAGCCGCCACAACCTCACACCCAACATCTCAGGCGGGATCAGAAGGGGACTCCACACCGGACACCGCCCGGGCACAGCCCCCCTACCCGTCGGATCGCACAGGGCCCCCTAGGAGCAGCCCACACACAATCTCGCATCGGCAGATTGCGCCTGAGTCAGACAGACAGCAGACAAGGAGAGAGAGAGAGAGGAGAGAGAGAGAGAGAGGAGAGAGGAGAGGGTGAGGGTGTGTGCACACGTGTGGAGCAGGGAGGGTGTCTGTGGTGGGCTATAGTCATACTACGTGGTTAGAACCACGCGCCCCTCAGGAGCTAAGGTAGAGCTGAGCGTCCAAGACGCCTCGGTGCCACCCACCGGCGTGAGACCATCCGGATCTACCCAGCCCGCCCTCCGGACAAGCTGGTCCCCGCGATGGCCCACGGTCCTCCGTCGCCTGGTTGACCCCCTGCCTCCCAGTTGACCCCCGGTCCTCGTAGTCCATCATGAAATAAACTCAAAGTCCACCACAGCCACCAGCCTCCACCTCCACCGTCGAGCCGCGATCGCTCCCGCCCGCAACACACACACACACACTCACACATCTCCCTCTCCCCAACCTCAAAAAACAAGAAAACCATCCCGTGAACTCGTTGATGCAAGCGCGCCCGATTCATCGCTGACGGCCGGACGCCCCTACTAACTTCGAGACAGCTCACAGCCTGAGACACACATGTGGAACGTGCTGCGCTTCCTCCTCCTCTGCTGGCTGTCCGCTGCGACCGCCGTCAAGCGTCCCGCGCCGCGCACGCCTCAGCAGCGCTCCGGACCTCGCTTCCGCATCGTGATTCCGCGCAAGGAGCCGCCGAAGAAGCGCCTGCTGCCCTCGCTCCCGGCGCTTCCGACCAGCGCAGAGCTGCAGGAAACGGCACTCGCTCGCGCGACTCGCCTTCGCGAGGCGGTGAAGGAGGCGCCATCCCAGCTGCGGCAGGCGGCGCTCGATGCGCCGGCCAGTGCGAGGCGTGCGGTGGACGAGGCTCCTGGCCGCATCCAGCAAGCCGTGCTCGGGGCGCCCGACGCCCTCCGCGATCGCGCGCTGCGGACAGCGGACGCCTTTGACGGGGGCGTCTTCGCGCTCGGCTTCGCAGCGGCGCTGGTCGTGGTGAGCGGGGGCACGACGCTGCTCGCGCGCGAGGCGGGCGCCTTTCTGACCGAGGGCGGGCGCGGCGAGGTGCTCGAGCGGGCGCTACTCTTCGGGGCGATCCTGGGCGACGTGCAGGACGGGTACGTGGACCGGCAGGCGATCGACCTCGACGAGCTCTTCGAGACGGGCGTCAACGCGATGCTCGGATCGCTCGACCCGTACACGACGTACGAGGACGCAGCGCAGGCGGCAAGGGCCCTGCCGGGCGACTGAGCTGGCTACTGTTGGGATGGCTGTGAATGAGTGTGAGGTTGCTTGCGACCGCAGGCCGAGGACCTGACCACGCGCACCACCGGGCGGTACGGCGGCATCGGAATCACCATCGGGGCCGACGAGGGCTCTAGTGCGCGCGGAGGCGGAGGCGGCGGCGGCGGAGGCGCAGGCGCGGGTCCCGCCCAGAAAGGGAGTCCTTCGATCCTGGTGCTGTCTGCGCTGGAGGGGTACGCGTACGACGCGGGCGTGCGTCCGGGTGACCGGATCCTCCAGATCGACGGCCGCCCGATCAGCGGTGCCGCGTGAGGAGGAGGTGACGGAGATGCCGCTGGCTGAGGGTGACTAGCTGTGAATGAGTGACTAGGTGCGCGCGTGGAGGAGGTGAAGAACATGCTGCGCGGCGAGCCGGGCACGCAGGTGTGTCTGCTCGTCTGGTCGGGTGACGTTGCCAGTGAGTGTGAGGCTGACGCACTCGTGGTGTCAGGTGTCGCTGCTACTCCAGCGGGACGGGTCGACGCAAGAGGCGATCCCGATCGACGTGCAGCGGGCGGAGGTAGACACTTCCTAGACACTTCCTAGAAACTTCCTAGCGGATCCCGATCGACGTGCTGCGGGCGGAGGTCCGCCACTCGTCTCCCTCGCGACCGTCTCGAGGACACGTCCCGAGACATGCCATGCACATGTCCCGCAGGTCCGCTTGCCCGACGTCTCCCTCGCGACAATGATGGCGCAACGCAGCGGGGTGCGTCCAGCCGGACGAGCGCCTCCGAGTCGAGCCTGGGCTTGCTCGTCACTAGGCGCCGCGCACCGGGTACGTCAAGCTGGACGGCTTCTCCGAGGGCACCGCCGAGGAGCTCGCGCGGGCGATGGTGCGGCTGTACGCTTCGCAGCGAGCCGCGGGCGAGCCTCTCGAGTCGCTCGTGCTCGACCTGCGCGACAACCCGGGCGAGCATTTCCTAGACACTTCCTAGACACTTCCTAGACACTTCCTAGACTTGCGCGATATCCCGGGCGAGCGGACTCGGGGCGGCGGCCGGACCGCGCGGGACGCGTCCAGGACATGTCCGAGACACGTCCGCCAGGCGGGCTGCTCGACGCGGCGGTCGGCGTCTCGCAGCTCCTCGTCCCTCAGGTCTGCGGACACTTCCTAGACACTTCCTAGACACTTCCTAGACACTTCCCAGAAGCCTCGTCCCTCAGGTCTGCGGACAGAGGCTCGTCACGGACTCACTCCTTGACAACCCACAAGTTGTCCTCCCCTCCCTCGCCCATGAACCCCCGGCCCCTTGACGGTGCTGATATACCCATTGGGGGGTTAATAACGTTTTGACGAAGTTCACCCATCCCCCCTTTGGCCCCAATTAATACGTGGGACACCGTGACCACTTCCCGGGTTTTTAATAAATCCGGAGGGGACACTGGAGCGCCCCGGGGAAGGGGCGGGGCCCCAGCTTTTCTGGTCTTTATCCCACCAGTATGGAGCGGTCCCTCTACGTAGAGTTTCCACACTTTTACGCATCAAAGGACAGAAGCCTCCCGGGTCCCCGGGG